CAATAATGCAACATTTTATAGACTTCAATAAAGAAATTGACTTGCTCTGTCACAAACCATTCAAATACACAGAATTAGTTAGAAATATAGAATATATATTTGACATGCTTCTTAGAAGCAAATAAAGGAATCTATATGTTCTTCTGGTCTGAACAAATATAATAAAAATATTGAACAATTGTTAATTATACTGTAAATGTGCGTGAAAAAAACGTATAATTGATAATTGGTGATGAAAAATTTCTCTTTTAAAAAATAATTTTACATGTGTCATTATGTGATCATGTCACTGCAGTAAGTGCAATAAATTATCTAGAAAACTACAAATTAAAATGCTAAAACTACTTCAAAAATTAATCAGCAAAGAGAATTTCAAAGGATATCTTGCATTGGATACTAAACATGAAGTTTCTAAAAAAGGATGAATATGAACAAACAAAGTATAATATTATATATTCTAAAAAATTACCAGCAAAAGCTCCAAAGCTATAGGTCCAAAAAGCAATACAGTATCACATCTAAACACAATTGTAGCAATGGTCTGCAATCAATATGAGAGAGTTAAGATTTCATAAATACAATATGTTTACATTATATAACATATTGTATCCAACATCATCAGTACTGAGTGGAAATTATAAAGAATTGCATCATTTATAGAAAATGCTTCCCAAAGAACATAAATTAAAAATAGTACAAAAATGGACTGGAAAAACATACCAAACACCTTAAAGTTGCCAAAAAATTACCCTTGAACCAAAAGCCATACGACATGTTAACTGCAGTGATACATACAAACAGTGAGAATATTTTGTCATCGTACAAAGATAAAAAAAATGGAACTGACTACTATTAGAGTCAATGAATTCCTTCTTTTAATTACTATGCTTATTTAACATGAAGTAACTAAAATTTAAAGGAAGATGTAAACAATTTTAAAAAATTAATTGACGAATCTACAATATGAGAAAATAGAAGATAATACCTAGAAAGAAAGCAAAAATATTAGGAAGTGGACGAGTGCAGTAGAACAAGAGATGAAACTGCAAAGCAGTTAGTATAACAAAGAATGCTTCAACATGAAACCCAAATTTTCTTTTAACCTGATGGCACAAAAATTTAATCACTCATACAATAAGGTTCTAGAATTCAAATATCACTTAAATTAAAAAAAAACAGAGTTAAAGCAAAATTATATGAAAGTTATCTTCACCTTAACACTGATATGAGTGTTATGAACAGAGCGAGATCTGGGAAATGGGGGAGATCAAATAATCGATCCCTCCTTAAATGTTATTAATTATCTTATATATACTTTAGGGGGGATTGAGATCTAACAGAATCGTGCTAACTGATCTGTTTCTAGAGTTATTAGTCAACTATACATTCTACAATATTAACTAATTACACAAATATCATCTAATTATAATATCACTAATAACTTAATTTAATTGGGCCCAAATGGTCCTTCCTAAGGCGGAAGGGGGTCTAGGGGTTAGAGACCTACCTATTATTACCACTGCAACCAATATTAAAAGAGCTTCAAGGTATTGGGATAAGAGTGATTCTATTTTGGTAAAATGGATCCAAGATAGGTATATTAAAGGAAAAACGCTTAATAATATACAAATCAGGCCTACTGTGGACTCACATTTCTAAAAAGCTTTTATCTCAGAAAAGAATCTAGTGTGGAGATCTGGTACTCCGATAAGCAAGTTGGGGGGAATGGTGAAAAGTATTAAGGATAGAAAGCATAAAGACATGTTAGCTGAGGGAATTTGGTCGAAGATGCCGACAAAATTCTCTATTCCCTTGTGAAGGGTGAAATGGGATCACCTAAACACGTTCAAGAAGTTAAGAAGCTATAAGGTACAAGTACCTTCTGCTTGCGTGTTATGCAATCTGGAAGATGAAACTAGAAGTCATCTTTTTTTCAATTGTTCCTATTCCAGATCTCTCTTAATTCCGTTGGTTGAACACCTAAATCTCGCCTTCTGGAAAATAATGAATATTCCAGTTCCCACCCAATTCAGTCCAGATATTAGATTGGGGGATCTGACGGAGGTTGCGCAAAAAATTACGCACCACTCTCCCCCTTGGGGGCTCCTGAGGCAACGTATCTAGTTACTGTATTACTAAACTACATAGCTAATGAAAGAGAGTCAATGAGCTTTTGCACATTTCTTTTTACTTCTGTTGTTATTTCTACACTTTATTCTTGTAAACTAGGCATTAGCCTTATTTTTTTTTTAAATGTAATTGATTTCAAAAAAAAACTAATAACTTAATTTAAGGCATTCAATGCTAACTTTAAATATGATTGTTGTCATAAATGATAAATGAAGCTTGAAATCGACTCAATTGTCATAAATTGTTCATTGCTGAAAGTGGAGTGGGCAGATCCTAGGATTGCATATGTAGGGAAATGGAGATACATAAGATATAGATATAAAGTAAAAACATATAAAATCATTGTCGCTCTCCTATATAGTTGTGACCATGACTAACTAGCCAGAGACTGGTGCCTCAAGAGGTTGGACTCCCATAGAGTTATGGCTTTTGAATCAAAAGGTTGGACTCCCATAGAGTTATGGCTTTTGCCTCATGAGGTTGGACTCACATAGAGTTATGGCTTTTGCCTCAAGAGTTTTGTTTTGTTTTTGCAAATAGTAAATAGTTGGTACTTTGGTGTCCATGGGGAATTGGGGATTGAATCCCTAACGTATTGTATCAGACAAGGAAGTCTTCACAACTACTAGTCATTAAGGATTTGTTCATTGTGAGGCTTCGTAAAGACGGTCATCAGTGAGTATAGATTGTAAAGATCAAAATTTATTTTGCCTTGTGAGTGAAACTAGATTACGACCAATCCTTCAAGTAATCATCATGCATATGTGATTTTTAAATATTTCAGGGCTTCAGGCACTCGGCAGTGCTGTGAAATATCAACACTTAAAATTGGAACTGATTAAAAAGTTGGTGATGCAAATCAAAAGTTGGAAAATAAAATATATTAAGTTAATGATATTATAAGTGATAGAAGAGAAAGCTTAAGAAGGGTATATTAGTATAAACCTTCTTAGTGATGTATGACTCTTTGATAAAATAAATTTTCATCGTCAAAAAAGAAGAAAAACATGCATACCTCTCTGCGGAAGAAACTAAGCCCAGACAACACAATGCATCCTAATGTCAACCGAACTGGACATAAATCACATAACAGGATAGAAATAATATTAGATATAGTAGATGGATTTATGGGAATTAAGACATATTCACGCATATTTGCACCAATGTTTATTAATGAAGTATAACACATGCAGTATTACACCAATATTTATTTATAGGATACATTTTTTTAGCATTAATGAAGTATAACACAATAATGACAATATTGATGTATCAAACGTTGACCATATATTCATATCAATTTTTACTTAAAGATAGCGGGCCACATCTCAAATTCTCAATGACTTAATGTAAGAGTATTATTTTTGTAATTGAATGAAGCGTGTTTAGTATTCCCAACATTTTCTAATGTAAAAAGTGTAAAATATGAAAAAATATACAAACTAACCCACTAAGAGACCATATAATTTCGGTAAGTGGAAAAACTGCACTGCTAACACCACTGGAGAAGACAGAATCGAGACAGAAAAGGCCCCTGCAAAAATGAAAAATGATTCTTAACCCATGAATAAGATAATAGTGCTGTTAAAAATGACCAATAAAGTATTGCTTTCAACTTTTCCTCCGATTATAAAAAGTGCAGATTATGCTGTAGGTTAGGCAAGTGTGCTACGTCTGTGCACCCATAGCCAACACATAACGCATTGACATTTTGAAACGTGAAGGGTAGGTTAAACACGCTGCCTACAAGAGATGTTGTTTCCATATCTCAAACAGAAACAAAGTGTCTTTGTGATGATGAAAATGAGACACTAGGCCACATTTTATTCTTCTTGTATCTTATTCCAAAAATATCTGGAGAAGAACTAGTTGAAATCTCTGAGTCTGAGGAGATTTCTACCCTTACCATAGTTCAAAAAAGCGAAAAGAGCTTCCACTTTTTAAAAAGTGCTTTAAGCGTGCTTTAAAGGGTCCCTTACTGCGGTAGAGGTAATGATGTTGTACTTGTTTATAAATTATAACTTTGTGTGTTGTTTTCATTCTGATGAACAATGATAGCAATTTTTTCATCAGTTTGACAAATTGAGAAGACTAAAAATATAATGCATACCAATGAATGTACGAGGAACAACACCGGGGAACTCAAAGTGATCGTACTGCATGAAAAGCAATGTTAGTCTCTTGGTCTAAAGTCCGAAAATGGCAAAACTACAAGCATACATGTAAACACCTATGGGGCATGGCCGCATGGGTAACTTAAACAAAATAACACACTTGCCTTTTGAAGGTGTTGCCGATGATAAAGAATATCATGCATTGCCTTGCCGAACAAAAAAAAAATATCAGAAACTAAAGCTACAATATAGTTCAATCACTGAAGAGTAAAATCTAAAGTTATAGAATACATGATTAAAATATAGTATCAAACACATTCAATTCAAGTATATAATCATCAAACACTCCCTGTAACAAAATATGGAAGAAATAATTCGAAATTTGTAACGATTGATGCCTAAACCTGAACGTTGAAGCTCTCTTCCACTTTCGTGTACGGCACTGCGATGACGTAGAAAGTAGTAATCGAACCAAGCAACAGATCCCAACCTGCACAGCACACACCATCGATCTCCTCACTTCAGATAATATTACTAACAAAGAAACGAAAAGGGAAATATAAAAGGAACAGAGTAACGATGAACACACTACCAAATCGTTGCAGAAATGAACAAGAATCTCTATTGGGAGGAACGACCACCTCTTTCCTCGTTGCCATTTCTGTCGCTCGTATCTTAGAATTTTAATTTTGCAATTCATGTTTAATTTATATAAGACTAAATTAAATATAAATTCATAATAAATATATCAATAATTCCATTGTACTTCAGTGGTTAGGATACCTAGTTTTCACCCAGGTGACCCGGGTTCGAATCCCGGTGTTGGAATAATTTTAAAATGTTATGTTAAAAACAAGTATATAAATTGTTTGAAGTTAATTAATGATTATGTTTTAATTTGAAAACTTTTATAAATTCAAAAGAGTAAATTTTATTTATAGCCACAAAAGAGATAATTCGTGAGTCTAAAATGGGATACTTTTTTTTAAGGCGATTTAAATTGAAAATAAAACAAAGAGATTATAAAACTAAAATAAAAAAAAGACAATTAATTAAACAATTAAAATACGATAGGATATGTGGAATAGGTATAGTTTATTAATCCTCGGTTTGTAAGTCAGTAACCAATAGCGAGGCTTCCTCCCATCTTCTGATTGATGTATCTTCCAAACTTAATCTATACGATTTTTTATATATGCGGTGATCATAAATGATAGTCAAATCTCCTATGAAATCCCTTGCGATGACCCTGACCGGTCGAGAGAGCCCCTCCTTATGTCGTAGATTCCTCTCCCTCCAGAGATGTCGATCATATATATTGCAAGTGCATTCCAATATAGATCCAGCATAGTGCTGACTTCCTGAATTTGGATATCTCTTCTATGATATCATCCACCCTTATATGTCCTTATTTTATCACTGTGATACCCATAATCTTCCAGCATAGAGCGTAATCTGTCATTTTTGTAAATTCGTTTCAAAGAGTCCAACTGAAGTCGTAGTTGAAAAATAGATGAGATGTCGTTTCCTCAGTTGCGTCACATAGGACACACTTTACCGGTACCACCACTACCCCCAATTTTTCAATTTATCGAATGTTCTTAGCTTTCCCCATCTCAATCTTCATAAGCAGAAGACCATCTTTGAGGTACAACATGTCCACACTCCAACGGCCAGAGGGTCAGAGATGGCTATCGGTGATAATTTTGCTCTTATAAGGCTCGATTTTATACTTCCACTGGCCGAGCCATCCAACCTTGCAGAATAGCATAATTCGATATCCTCTTTGGCTCTCAGAATGCTAGACCAGATTGGGAAATCTTTGGGGTAGGTTTGGATATCAGCCAACTTTCTCCCTTTGGCATATCGTGTCTGCATCCAAACCGCCCAAGGAGAGCTCCCATTCCATATTTTATGTGCCCATTTGACCCTAGCAACTCTTGCGAGTAGCATCGGGTCCGCCAATCCTAGGCCCCCATCCTCCTTAGCCATAACCATTCTGCTTCATGTTATACCTTTTGAGTCTCCCCAGATAAATCGATAAATGATTTACCGTGCTTTTTTAATAACCGTCATGGGAATTTTGAGACATTGGAACCAATACTGTAGTTTTCCCACTAGTACCTAATTTACAAGTTGAACTTTACCTCCATAGGACAAAGCTCTGTTTTTCCACTTTTGAAGATAAGAGTTTAATTATCTACTAGCGGGGCACAATCCACTCCTTTAATATCCCTTCCTACTAGAAGCACACCTAGATACTTCGGCGGTAAGAAACTTTCTTGGAACCCTATCAACTGCAGAAGGTCGTCCTTAATCTGCTCACATGAAATGGAGAATATCATAGAACTCTTGGAACAATTAATTTCCAGTCCTGAAATTTTTGTAAAGTTATCCAAAATTGCCTTAATTGCCATCAGAGATTTAAGATTTGCCTTTGCAAAACATAATACATCGTCGGCGAAGATGAGGTGTGTTGGAGAGGTCGCCCCCCTATAACGAAAGTATCCAACTCTCCACAATTTTCGACGAGATGCATTGATTGCGAAAGGTTCTCCATAACTAGGTTGAAGAGGATCGGAGAAAGTGGATCTCCTTGCCGAAGTCCTCTCCCACTGCCAAATTGAACTGAAGGCTCCCCCTTTATGAGGATAGAAAACGTCGTGGTCGAAATACACTGAATGATGAGTCTGACAAATGCCCCTGAGAATCCCATACTTACCAGAGTAATACGAATCGCTTTCCAGCTAATTGAATCAAATGCTTTAGTAATATCGAGACTTATACAGACTCGTCTTGCCGTCGTCTTTTGATTGAAACCTCGCAATAGCTCCTCCGCTAGGAAAACATTATCAGAAATGATTCTACCCTTTGTGAAAGCCGCCTGATTGTCTGAGAGTAACTCTGGAATCACAAGCCCAATCCTATTAGCCAGTAACTTAGATATGATCTTATATATTGTGTTTATCCCAGAGATGGGTCTATAATCTCAAATATGCGAAGCCGCTGAAAACTTAGGAATAATAGTGATGAATGTATTATTAATGTGCTTTAAGGAACCTCGTCCGTCGAAAAAGTCATCTATAAACATCATCACGTCTTTCTTAATGAGTCCCCAATATCGTTTGAAAAATCCCTTCGTAAACCCATCGGGTCCTGGGGCTTTTTCTGGTCACAAACTAGAGATTACCTCCCACACCTCTTCCACTGGCCTCCGAGTCATCCAATGATTCATCTCTTCTGCCACTAATTTCGGGAACCATCTCAGAGAATTGTCAGTGCAACTATTTAAAGGTTGTCGATCTTTCACGAAACAATTCTTTAAAATAAGTAACTCCTTCCTCCTCTAATTGGTCCCTTGTTACTAGTGGATTCCCTTGATCGTCTAAGTTGCACAACATAGAATTCCTTATGTTCCGATCCTTGGTTTTTTAGCTAAAAAATCGAGTGTTTGGGTCACCCAATTTCAGCCAGTTCACTCTTGAACATTGTCTGTGCTCTAGTTCCTCCCTTTCAAGCAGGTCCCGAAGTATCAATTTCTCTTCAACCAGCTTTTGTTATAACTCGTGACTATCTGGATCTTCCGTTAAATTCAGCACATTCACCCCTACTGATTTCCTGATAGATTCGATTTGATTTTTCAATGATATTTGCCCCTATAGTCATAGCTTGGTAGAAGATTTTACTAAGCGCAATTTAGAGTTAAAGATGAACATAGCGGTACCCTGCAGATTGGAATCCCAACACTTTTTGACTAACTCCAGATATCCTTCCTGTCTCATCCATGTGTTGACAAAACGGAAGGGCCTCTTGGCTTTAGAAATTTGGTGAAAGGTGATCTTCAAGCCATGATGATCGCTGGACCCCACAGTGTAGAGATTGCAGGTTAAATTGGGCCAGAGGGATCTCCAGCTTTCATTAATTAGGACTCTATATCAATCCGGCTCTCGTATCTTTTACTTTCAATTGCACCATTGCTCCAAGTAAAAAATCCTCATTTTATAGGTATTTCAATAGTGTATGTACTATCAATCATCGATCCAAATTCAGCAGGCCCCACGTCGGAATAATCTCCTTGTCCTCTCCTTTCAGTGGCATAGATAACCTCATTAAAATCACATAATATTATCTATTTTTCATCATAGACTGTCGGGTAAATTTTAATTAGATCCTCCCAAAGAGAACTCCTTTCCACGGGCGTATTTCGACGGTAGATAAATGTGATGTATAAAGATAATCTAGCATTATTGATAAACTTGAAATGCATTAGCCGTTTAGTTACAGATAATGGGCTTCCTAGCCAGATCTTTGGATTCCAGAAAATCCATATCGAATCACCTTTATTAGGTTCCCAGACACTAGAGTTTGATAAGTGTGGCCATACACCTTTGAAAAGTTCAGCAGTTTTCCCTTGATTATTTCTCCTAACTCGTATCTCCAGAATTTCAACAATTTTCAATCTTTTTCTAGCCATTAGCGACAACACATCCCTTTTCTTTTTTCTACCATTGAACCCCCTTACATTCCACACGAAAAGCGCCATCTCGGTTCGTAGACGGCCCTGGTGGAAATCTAGAGGGTTTAATGACCAGCAGCGCCGGCTCGAGGAGTCTCTTGCGTTGCCTGTGAAATTAAGAATTGAGTGATTTGGTGTTTCCATAATAGCCCTGGATTAGGATTTGGGTTTTCAATAGCCATAATCGAGGGGATTGGGATCTCATCCACATTGACCGCTAGTGATAGAGATGGTCCAAACTGTTGATGTATGTCTTGTGGGCTTAGACCCTGTGGGTTGAGGTTCAGGTCTATATCCCTATTTAGATTCACAAATTGATTTAATCTTAGTGCTGAATCCACTGAGTTATCTGAGCCCTCCTCTACTTCATCTTGGATATTCAAGATCAGGACGTTGACCTCTACTGTATGCGATGTATTCTCCTCAGCTAATTTCATCCTTCTCTCTGCTGTTTCTACCTCAGCCTTTTTCTTACTCGAGCTGCCTTCCTTTTCTGTGCCCTCGTAACCCTCTGTGTTTCTGATTCTGAATTTTCTTCATGTTCAGTGGCTAAAGGGGATTTTCTAAAAGTAATTCTCCTTCTACGAGTGTTAACGCCAGCTGTTGAAATACTTGGTGGCGGGTCTGAGAAAGCCTGTTCGGGCTCTTGGGTATGAATAACATCCACTGTCAAGGGTGTTCGGAGACAAGCTTCAGTTTTATAACCGTACCCCTCACACCATTTGCACGAAAGGGGGACAGATGGATATCTCACTGTAATTTCTTCCGTCACCTGACCGTTCTGCCCATCTATTATTATTTTCGTACTTCCGGGAAATTTAAAGACAGCATCCACTACCACCATTAATTGGACAATCGTCTGATCATCTTTGACCACAAATCTGGCATTTAGTGGTGTACCTAGGGTACTAGCTATTCTTGCGATGATTCCCGCAATCCAGAATTTCTCATTCAGCGCAGGGAGAGTAGCCCAAATCGGAATCGTCGATAAAGCATCAGACTTAAAACCCAATGATGGTTTCCATTCTTGCGTCAGCATAATCTCCGATTCCATCCAGAGCCAATCTTCCCTGAGAACTTTCTCAAAATCTCTTTCATTCTGTACCGTAACTTTAAACCCGATTCCTTCTAATATTACCACTTCGTAATCTCTAGTCTCCTTCAGTCCCCACTTCTCTGTTATAAATTTCTTCGATTTGGCAAGCGAAGGATTTATTCCTAACACCCTCAATAATATTGTAAATTTCTTCGTAGCCTCCTCCAGTTGTGATTCTTCAATTCTTACATGGGGTTGATTGTTGATGAGTGTAGG